TATCGAGCATTGTTATGTGTGCCTAGGCTTCAATTCGGAAGCCAAATGGAGATATTCTGTGGAGATGTCTTACTGTGTCTCACTGTTGTTAACAGTTGCTTTTAGTTGGGTCTTTAAGAGACCTTTGGAACATTTTTTATCAGTTTCAATTCTAAGTGGAATCCAAAACCTTGGAAAATACTTTCATATTCTTCAACACTAGTGGCCATGAAGCCCATTACACACACCTGGAGTCAGCAAAATTTGTGCTAATTAACCTTGTTTGTGATTTGTCCCATGTCTATTCCCTTGTTGGTGCATTGTATATTTTGGTAGCCTTGTGTGGTGTTTTTTGAAGGCATGTTCTCTCTCAGCCATAATGCTTTTTTTCCCAGATGTTGGCCTTTGTGCATACTGTTGACAGGCTTGGTAGCAGCACCCGCAGTTACTGTGCTTGTCATGAAAAGGCAAAACTAAAGGCATGACTTTTAAGCAACTGCCAAGGTACAAAACAGTGCCTGACTAAACTTGACCTATAGGCACAGTGCACCCCAAGGCGTTTGATTTAACTTCCTATCACGCTATTAATGGTGAGTAGGTTTATTTTGTTTGTTTTACATTTGCATCGCTTAAAAAGTGTACATTTTACACTTGATTCGATAAGAAATGTCCCCTTTCTAAGATGCAATCATAATTAGGCTTGAATTCTTCATTAAAGCTTGTTGGGGGTGACCAAAACAATGTGAATTTAGTGAGTGTTTACTGTGACCTGCAACTTTATTCATCCTTTGACAAAATGTGTACATTTTTAAGGAGTAAGTTTTAACATAATGGAGATTATTTCGATAAGAATCTAGTTACAGTGAAATTCTTTGGTAAACTGATGCTAAGAAGCTTTTGAAGGAACTTTCCAGATTAGCATTTGAAAGGAAAAAAAATTACAGAATAAATCTCAGGCAAATATTAAATGTATCAAACTGCTGAGACACAGTTCTGGGTTGGCACATGCCATATTGTTTTAGAAACCAACTACTTTGCATTTCATTTATAATATACCCTAGTTCACACTGCCTTTACCCGCTTGTACATTGATGTCACATGAATGGAGGTTTGGCCGGAAGGAAACTATTACTTTTTACATATATCTTTGCACAATTATAAAATGGTAAACCACTTCTCAATGTTAAACGTAACCGAATATTTTTTAAAATCTGCACTCAAGCAGAATTCAGTTCTTTGGGATGTGGACATGAAGGTGTCACCACTGCACAGCCGTAGAAAGTTTGGCACCAGTGCCAGGCACATGCCATTCATGCTGCCCGTGTGTTTGCTCTTCCCTTTCTTGGACTGTAAGAATTTTAAATAACTACAGCTTATTGGTATTCAAAGGTCTTGCATATAAAACGGATGCATTCAGTTTATAAAAGTGTGTGCTCATAAAATGCATGCTTATATAATCCGAGTGCATTAACATGCATGATGAGCATACTTAAAGGATTCCGTGGTGAGTATTGTCCAGCACTCTGTTGAAAGCCCTGTGTCATTGATGGAATTTCTAGATTCCTATGGCAGGAACCGTTCTCCTCAAAAGAGAACCACTGCTGTCTTAATACAAAGTGGTACTAATTTTATCGACCTTAGAAAGGATGTTGCCTTAAGTTTAACCCTGAACCAGCATTTGAACAGTGATTCTAAGTTGAGTGTTCTGCCCTCTGCACCACCTAACATACCAATAACGTCTCTCCAAAACTTCCCTGTGTTTATGTCCTGTGTGTGTGTGTGTGCATATTTTATACTGGAATGCAAATCCAGGCACGCATTCTCAATGACCAACTCATTCATTGATTACAGTCTTTAAAACTTTTACACGTCGCTCTAATACATGCCTTTACATGTGCAGAAGCGCACCGTGTAGGGTCTTGAAATATATATAATTGCATGCATATGAAGGTAAATAGAGACACATTTGACCGCAAGGACTGAGTAAAGATCATTGTGAACTCGCCACTAATCGCTTCCCGTAGAAAGAGAAAATGACACGCATAATACGTTGATAATTATCAAATTGTACTGCAGTGTAGCAATGGGCTGCCCACTGCAGTGAGAGAAAAAAAGGTTTGACCATATGGACCGTTGCCTCGTCTTGTGCTGGCTGCTGGGCCCCTCTGTGCGTAAAGGCTCTTTTCCAAGCCTTACACTTCTATAATGCAATGCTTGTTGCTGTTGTTAAAAACAAAAAACATAATTCTCAATTACCGTTATATACCAAGCACTGACATGTGTGCCTTTAAGATACGCAAAAGGGTTAAACGGATTGGGTTTTTAACGAATTTAGCTTTATTACATTGATGGACCCTCATCAGAACCGGTGTTATGTTAATGTGCATACACACTAGCTTTCATAAGTATAATATGGGCATGCAGGCATAGGCACTTGGTAAAAATATTTTCCTATGGGGCAGAAATGTTATTTTTAATGGAAATATGTTTTTTTAAGTCGTAATTTTTTTTACGTCCAAAAATTAGAGAGTGCAGAGTGGGCGGTAGATCGACATGTTTGTGTATGTGCATTTATGTTGAACTTCTTCCGCACCGTACGTAGCCAACCGCGCTAATCGGAGGTGCGGGGGAAGGGCAACAAACTGAACACAAAAAGCAGTTCTAAAGAAACGAGTTTTCAATCTAGTTTAAAAAGTGCATAGCTCCAATGGCTTCCAAATATCAGAAGGAAGAGCAGTGACCGTCTGATGGCTAGCCAAAAAGCTGCTGCGAGGATGACATGGCTAAGGGCACGGGTTCACCGATTGCATCAGTCGACCACGTGCTCCACTCGTGCCCTTGCCGCGTTTGGATTTGGGAGGTTCTGCTGTATTCTCCGGGTTCTTTGAGTGCAAGGTGGTAAACTGGTTTGAGGGCCAAGCTCTCACCGATGCATGCAGGTGTGATGATTGTCGATCTACGGTTGTGTCTTGGATACCGTGATGTGTGAATGCGTATTTTTGTATGTATGTATGTTGAACTTCTTTTGCACCGTACATAACCAAACGTGCGACTCGGAGGTGCGGGGGAAGGACAACAAACTAAACTCATAAAGCAGTTTTAAAGATTAGTGAACAGTCCTTGGAAAATTGTAATGCTGATTGCTTGAAGACGCCGCACGATTGCGGTACTGATTGATGGTGGGCGTATACCGTATTAATAATGACGATTTGTTTTTGATTGTGGCTCTTTATACACCTGAGTATCTCGGTGCGCTTTGCGTCACATCTCATCTGAAAACATTTCAAAGTGAACCCCCAGTGGCAGTTATCCATGTTGGCACAAGGTGACTCGGCACCTGCCCTGCAAGCGGACATTCGTCTGCCAGTTGGGGGCGATGGTTGCCAGGTGTAAATGTCCAATTGAGCAATTAGCGGATATGTATTTTAAGTACTTCAGAGGAATTCTGTTTGCCATGAATGTGTACCCCATGATATGCACCGTTTGATCCAGTGAAAGCTTCACTGAACCGGTGGAAGAATACTCCCAATGTGTGCCATTTATCAGTTCTGTTTTTCACCGTCTCTGCTCATACAGAAATGCTTCGCCATGTGGCACAGCTGATCTTTGTGCAAACTCTTTCACATGGCGGCTGCTAAAACACCGCTGCTGGTGCTGACTTGGTATAAGCTCCATCTGGGCAAATACACTTTTTTATTATTCAGTTGAATCCCCTCTGACAAAATGGAGACTCGTTTAATGTACTGGTGGCCAGCTTGTGTAGAGATTATACATGCAGTGTAAATGAGCACGCAGGTCTTTTGTGGGATGTTCACAGCCAACTAATCGAATTGTTTGATATTTTTCCTTGTCAAGCTCATTCATTCGCACAGCCACACCTACTGCAGGCAAACTCGGGCTTGCTCATCAATCGCCCTCGTATGCTTTGATAATTGAGAATTTGCCTTGGCCAGTGCTTTTATGAGCTCATTTTAAAATAATCCCACATGATTTTTAGTTTGTGTATGGACACGAAAGAATAAAACCCATTTATTATGTTTAAGACATCGGTGTGTATTCACATCTTTTTTGAAAATTGCTAAATATGTGCAATTAAGGTAAGGAATCTATTTCTAAAAAAGGGTTATTTTTGCGACTGTAATATTGTATGTATGTTATGCTGATTGCAATTGATCTGTAGTAGTCCATATCATACTAACTGTGAATAATTTAATCATACTATTTGAAAATCAGTAAGTACATTTGAATCTTCTTGCCAATAATGCATACCTGTTTTTTATAACTTGCAGTGATTTAAAATAAATGTTTTTGATGTCCTACCTTCAATTTGTTTTGCTTTCAAAGATCCAACTATTCCGTGCATCTATGTATGTACGTTGAACTTTCTTTCGCGCCATACGTAGCCAACCATTCTAAATCGGTGGTGTGACATACAACATCTTTGTTCTTTTTGAAGATTGTAATTTGCGGTTGCAGTAAAACAGCCAGGTATTGCAGGGCCGAGGTGGCACGGGCCAAAAGAGATGTGGAATAAATCACGCAGATTTTCCGTGAAAACATTTCAATATGTACAGCATGAAAAGCCACATGCGTAGCTTGCAAAGTTTAGGCATTTCCTGTGTTATTTTACGACCTCGCTGGATATTTTGCTGGAATCCTGATAATTTGGCTTCAATTCAGGTGTTATTTTGTAAGAATGCCCATTTCAAATTAAATACACCTCCCACCCCCTCCCACCCCGGCAGGTCTGTCCACAAGTGTTTTGTGCGCGCTTTGCATTTAAAACAAGTCAGGGAGAGACTTCTTTGCTCCCCATAACTCTTCACACACAACAGCCACCCAGCAGCAGCGACGATGGTGCGAAAGCTGTGCACGATGTCCCAGTGAAATGCGACGCAAGTTTAATTTTCATCTCGTGTTTTGAATGTTTTTGAATGCATTTTTTTTGTGTGCGTTCGATGTCAAAACAGGAAGCGTATGAATAATTACATGAATGTATTTTTGTTCTCAATGTTTTAAAGACTCCAAGTTCTTGGACGAAAGATTCTTCTGAGAAGAAAAAAGGCTCGCACAAACGTTCTGCATCTTGGGGAACCTCAGACCAATTAAAAGAGGTATGCAATCATAATGAATCATACAAATATCATTCAGTGTTTGTCATTAAGAAAATAGAGTAATAGGTAATCAAATAATTCAACTTTTTTAGATAGGTCAATAATAGTTGTGAAAATTATTTACTACTTCATTAGCCAACTAAGTTGTTTTCCTCATGTAATCTCATGCATATTTAGAAACTACTGGTGATATCCAAAGCTATGACACTTGGATGTGCAAGGCTGAAGGCTATATAGGACAGTACGTAATCCGCAGATGTCTCGCATAGTTCGATAAAATGTGACCGATTGTCTAGAATTTAATTGCTTTTCACACTCCATCATTGGTTTCAATACTACACTTTTGTTATTGAGTTTAGAAGTTAATTACACACTGATAAATGATTGCCTACATTTTTGTTGGCAGCATGCTATAGTCGACTGTTTAATTAACTATGTCACCGATTTAAATGTCTTTGACTTACAGTTTTCCAAGTTTTCACTCAATCCCTTAAGTTCTCAGCCATACACATGAGTTGCTGATCTTTTGAAACATAACAAGAAGAAAATAGATGTATTTATCACAACCGTATATATTTTCACTAATTAAGCTATGATTTAAATATGTTATTCATGCGGTAACAAAGTTTTTTTAGTATATATTACCCATCTCCTTTTTATTTTAGGAGATAAGCCGGAAATGTTTATGCAGTGAATTTATATAATGTCTTTTAATAAATTGTCACGCATAGTCAGCAAAGGAACGTTGCGCCAATAGTGTGACCTCTTGTAAAAAAACATTAGAATCAAGAGATTTTTATCATTGGAAGCATTTAATGTACATTCCTTACATGTTCTTAAATGAGCACTCTAGCATTTCATAATCAAATTCAGCATGGAATTGTTTTGTCAGTGCCACGAGCACTTATAGCAAACACTAAATCATAAGCATAACTTCTCTACTCTTTGGTTCTTTCGGTAAAGTCACGTAGGTAAAAATAATAAAAGTTGCTTCTGGCTGTGGTGGTCTCACCTGATGACGAGCGCTTGTGTTGCGCCCGAAACGTCGTGATTTTTTTTTTCACTTTTATTATTTTTTTACCTACGTGACTTGACCGAAAGAACCAACGAGTATGGATCCTTGCAGTCATGAAAACTTCAAATCTAGAACGTAACTTATCTGTCTACACATGAAGGAGAAAAATATGTTATTCCATCAGCCTCTTGGCTTGCTGACCAATGTTTTCCAGCAGCATTAATTCTAAACTTATTTGACCTTCTGGGTCAGAAGCCCAGTATGTCAGGGACCTGTCCATAGAATTGGTCTGAAATATTTTAATTTCCAGTTAAACCTATTCTTTCTAAGTAATTGAATGCAATGCACCGCATATAGCAACTTTATTATAGTTAACTAAATGTGCAAGTGACGTCATGCATGCTCACAAGATCACTAATAATTGCGGTAATGCGCTTGATGTCACTTCATGATATGGCTGGTTGTACTGGTGCATGTTTGAACGCGTGTGTGTTTGATGGGTCACAGACGATATGCGGTGTTATCACGTGCTCCTCATTCCTCCTCCCCTTCTACAAGTATATGGCAGCAGTGCTCAATTAACTCTGGCTTATGAACAAACCAGTTGAACGTTTTTTTAGACAAAACTAGTATGGGGATTCGAGTGGGGGGGATTGCAATTCTGCATTGGCTGTGGTGCAAAAGCACAGATGACAACAAAAACACATGTGTCAATAAAACTGTGCCCTAAATTTAACTTATTTTTGCAAATTAACTTTCACTATCAAGAAAGGCCATTGCCTGAAGCGTTGCCTATGTTGTTTTTAATTTATTTTGATAAAGAGTGCCCAACTTGCAATTGAGACCAAGATGATGGCATAATGTATTTTGGCTGTGGACTCTATCGAGGTACAGATCGATCCACTAGTGGATGAACTTAGTCGAGTCTCCCTGCTTCTGGTTTTAAGTCTTCTGTCAGTGGGGTTGTGCTGTGTGCCACTGGATTTGTGATCCCTACTGAATGAGGAACTGGTGCACAGTTGTTTACGTTGATATGAAGGTGCACAATTCACAATGACCACATGTTAACAATTTTAGCTATTAGCTTCATCAAGTTTTTTGTGTCTGTTTGCTTGCAATTTTCACTTTAAAAACAGCCTTTGACTCAACAAAAGCACAGGTTACGTAGGTACAAAATGTAATCGGTCCCAATCAAACCTAAACATTATTCACATTAACAAGAATTAAGAGCTATCTGCATTGAACTAGTGTTTACATTATTACACTTGAACGGCTAGGTTATTACTTCTCAAATGTTTCCTCTCACTTTGTTATTGTCTGCTTATTTGTGCGTACTTGTTTTTAATACCAAATGTGACGTGAAAGAAAGTCACATTACAATTGGCCTATAGTTTATTATGGAAATAGGATCTTTTTTTGATTAACTTTGCTATTTTTAACTTGAGTAATAATAAAATGAATTACTTGTAAGTCAATGTTGAGTTTGGAAAATATTACCAACTGCTGAGGTAAAGCGATTTTAAATATTGTTCCTTCTGATAACATAACAGTGTGCCTATTTATACATGTGTTTTCCTGCATATAGGAACATTTTTACTTGTGTTTATTCCTTGTAGAAGCTTGTATTTTCATTTTAAATGTAATTCATATCCTACCCAATAATATGCACACACATTTATGTAAGTGCGTTGCATATTGTTTTCACATAATGTGGTATTTTAAAATTGCCCCTTGTTGCCCCGAGCTATGAGGGCTGCAATGTATGCTTTTGCGGAAAAAAATACAGTACTTGTAAAATACTTAAAATGCAGTCTAGCTCAGCATGGTGAAATATAACGACTCATCACAAACGTTTCATAAAATTTGTACCGTATGGTGAGTTTTGATAAGTCTGGAAATTATGCAAAACGAATGTGTACTTTTATTTATTATCTACTCTTGGTGTACTTTATCATAATCAAAACCGCATATGCAGGGTTTGTTTACAGAATGGCTGGGTTCACGCTTGCAAAATAATCACGTAATTGGCTCGAATAAGTAATAACACAGTGTGTGAGAATTTGACGGCTGACATTGCATTTGATGAACGAGGACAAAGCTTGCTTTTGGTGTGCATGGGTTTACACTTTCACCATTTATTTGCCAAGCTTATGAACATGTCTCCAAAAAATATATCAGTTTGACATGCTACATCTGCTGTGGTGATAAATACTCGGGCAAAAATGTGGAAGCAGACTGATTTATGTTTACTGCTATAAAGTAAAGTTCAGCCCCATTGTTATCTCCTTAAAATATGTGCTTAAAATCTTACATGTTACATAACGCAAAATAATCGGTTTCTTTGTGGAGAATATAATAAATAAATAAGCCGGCAATGTGTCTCCTTCACGTGTCGATCCCTCCACATAAAAAAATAAAATACACTTAAACAGATTCAAGCAAAGCCTGACTGCTGATGAGCCTATGAATGTCGAACCCGTTCCAGAGTTTGCTCGTTTCTAACCAATGCCACTAAAATTATGCACTCTCTTAAGGCCGCGTGACTCATGGGATGTGTAAAAATATACCTTTACGTGAAGGGACAAATATGTGAAGGGAGACGTATTGTCAGCTTTATTTATTTGGTTACTTAAAACGTATAATCAGTTGTTGATGTTTGCAAACGTTTTCGTGTACAGTGCATGTGTGCAAGTGTTTTTTATTCATGAAGTTTATTTATTATTTATGGCAGTGCTTGTTATTGGAAGCGATGTGGTGTTCTTGTGTTTATTTCTCGTCCGCACTTGAAGTATAACTCAATTTAGACTGTACAAGTGATCCCTTCATTGAGCAATGGAGAGTAACTTGAACAATGCTCGATGGTCCTAATGAACAGTAGAAAAAGAATTCAAAACTATGGGTCCCAGCTGAAGAAGCAAGACTTTGGTATCCCCCAATGTGTTTGATTTACACTTATGGCACTACTGTGTCTGGAATGTGTTATCTGTTGGCAGATTGCTAAGCTCCGACAGCATCTCCAAAGAAGCAAAAAGAGCAGCAAGCACCAGCGAGACAAGGAGAGGCATTCACCCCTGCATGGAAATCATGCAGCCATCCACCCAGCACAGGTATACAACAAGTGTGTCCCCCCGCTGTGTCCTGTTTTACTCCCGTGTTTTCATAATCACAAACGTTATTCATCCGGAAGCAATCGGATAAGCTATGAGGCTTTTTTTTGCTTGATAAAAAATAAAGTATACTTCATCATACTTTTGATGATGAGGGCCAGTGGTGTTGCACATCTAGAAACTCTTCAGTGAGACGAGAGATCACTGTTGGATAGTACCAAGCCGTCCGTGAGCAAATTTAAAATTTTAATCGTGCAATTTTGGGGCATTGTCAAAAGTTATTCAATTACACGTGGAGGTGCGTGCACACGTGCCTTATGACGCTTTTTATCCAGAGGTATGGACCTCCACGTTCGGATGAAAAAATCCCCATTCCCAGGCATGAGTGTAGAAAGAAGTTGATGGTTATTTTTAAAGCAGGGATGTGCCTCACAGCATCATTTCCTGTCATGCTTGTGTTGCAGTTTGTATCAAAGCACAGAGAGCACAGGGGATGCCTCTGCAATGGAAAATCTTCCCAGTAACCATGGCATCCTTGCCATGATGGTGCTTTTGTTATTCCCTCTCGTGTATGAAACCTCAAATCTGGATAATAGGAAAAACTGCTAATCACCTGGCCCCAGTCGATGGCACAGTTTACATATGAAATGGTTGTCAAGAGTATGAGTTATCTCTACATTGTAGGTCAGTGGTATGTGATTATAAGTACTGTAGCTGAAACCAGTGCTTTAAAATGTTAATGATTTTCATCTCTACCTCTTACCTCTTACAACTGAAATTCTAGTGTCCTATGGCTTGGCAAGTATAGTCACACACACACACACGTGTGATTTGGCTATGGTCGTATAGATACACCGTTACCAACCCTAGCAGTTAAAGCGGTATTCTTCCAATTTTAAAACCTTTTTACTGCGAACTGGTTTTCAAATAAAATATTGCCTTTAAAAACGTAACTTTTTTAAAAACGTGTCATGAGGTATGATTGGTTATGAATATTGGTATGCAATAAATGGGCTTAACGATTAGCATTTTTTCACTTAATTTTGTTGATTTGGAAAGTACGTAGATAAACTATTACAATTATTTGACAAATAAGCAGATCATTGTAAATGTGCCATGAACAGTATGTGTAGCCTGTAATAAAGAGTTTTATGGGTTCAGCTTACTATTATTAGTCAAGTATGACATAAATCATATATTCCAAACTATATAATTGTTGGTAATATTTTTAATAGCCAAAGATTCTGCCAGAGTTATTTTACATAATGATTTACATTCTGTAGACAATATAGGGTGACCTTGAGTATTATTTGAATATTGGCCTGGGGTATGTAACAGATATTTTCTATTACTGGGATTTCATTTGAAGGGCATCTGCGTCGCATAATGGCGACAGATAAAAGGACAATCGGCAGAGCCCGTTTGTGATCAGTTTTAGAAGCTGTGTAAGCAATTGGGGTGGTGACATGGCTTGGCAGTAGCGCGTTTCCTGCTTGTGGCAGAGAGTCCACGGTACAAAAAGCAGCAATAATATTTTTTATTTATGAAGTGCCCTTGAACAATCGTTCTCAGGGTGCTATGCACGGCAAGGCGGAAAATAGTTAAAAACAACCATGTAAAGAATAAATTAGAAGGACGGTTGAAATAACAAAAGAGAGAAAATAATTTTACACGGATACGTTTTTAGTTGAGATTTGAAGATTTGTGTCTCGGAAGTCCTGACCTCGAAGGACAACGAGTTCCAGAGTTGAGGTGCCGCAATTTCAAAGGCACCGTCACCCCAAGTGTGAAGTCTAAACCGTGGGACAGTGGGAAATGTACAATCTGAAGATCTTAATGAGCTTCATGGAATATATGACTGAAGGGGAGGTCATGAATGTAGGGAGGCGCGATTCCATTTAAGGCCTTGAATACCAGCAGCAGTTAATTCTAGATTTGAAGCTTTCGTGACTGCAAGGAATCATATTCTTAGGTTTTTTCGGTAAAGTCACGTAGGTAAAACATCAAAATTAATGAAAATAAAACAAAAAATCACGACGTTTCGGAGGCAACACAAGTCTCCGTCCCACCTGATGACGGAGACTTGTGTTGCCTCCGAAACGTCGTGATTTTTTGTACTGTGGGTGTGTTAACCATAAGATGCGTGCCATCTACTTCACAGTGGAGGTCAAAGATCCTGTGGCATCATGGTCCAAATCTTCCAACGTTTGAATGACCCGCAAATTACTAAATTGGGATTATACATAGCAACCATCGTCCCCCTACTGTTAAAAAAAAACTTTGCGAAACCTTCCTGAAAAAGTCATGAGATTCGGTAAGACGTTGCTGTGTCACACTGTGGAATAATAATAAATAAATAATATGCCACAGTGGACATGTGATGTGCATTTCCAATATTTGCATAGTGACATTTTACAAAAGGCGTCTTGGTACGTTAAAATGTGAAACAAAATTGCATTTCAATATGAATCATACAAGGCAACTAAATGTGGGTTAAAAAGTCTATATGACATTGACGTGAAACTGTGGAATTGTCTCTCTCCTGAACTAATATATTTGTGCTTCAGCTAATGCATGTGTAAACACAACATTAATACTTTGGTTAAGTGTACCCAGGTGTTTGCTTTTATACCATGCTTGGCATCTGGATATCAAGCAGTTTGAAAATTAACAGAACCCAATCTTGCCATAAAGCAGTCCCACTGCAAGGTTTACTGCAATGTAAACGCTTTGACTGATCAACACCTGTAACCCATTCTACATATGGGGTTCATAGCTGGCATTTATTTGAATAGCTGTTGGGTTTGAAAAGTCTGAAATAGTTATGCGGGTAGCATTTTAACCAAATTCCCAAATGTAGGGCAATGCATAGGGCACTTATGTGTTACCTTTTTTCTTATTTGATTGTCAAAGTTTTCTCCTGCTGCATTCCTTATTGATTTTTTGACAAGGTCTGCATTGTGAGCCATACATTATGTTGTAAATGCTGACATAAGACTACTTGTGGTAAATTAAATACGTGAAATTCTTCAGGTGTATGCCCCATGCAGCATATACATCAGATGGTTGTATATCAGGATAGGTAATGTGTCCAATGTAGGCTATGGTAAAAGTATTTTACAAAATACAAATAGATCACAGATGTAGTAAAGCATAAAGTTAGATTTTAAAATCGGCTGAAAACAGCACCAACTTGCATTGTAGGCTCAAACCATGATAATGATCACTCTATGGTTCTTTCGGTAAAGTCGCGTTGAAAGAAAATAAATTAAATAATAGAATACGACGTTTCTATTGCAACACAAGTGCAATCGTCATCAGGTCGAACTAAATTTGAGAGAGAGACAAAACGCAGACACGGAGACACACAGACAGACACATAAGCAGAGATAGACAACACAGTGACACCAAATTTAGACATATCTATGTTGTGTGTCTCTCTCTGCTTGTGTCTGTCTGTGTGTCTCCGTGTCTGTGTTTTGTCCCGCTCTCAAATTTAGTTCTACCTGATGACGATTGCTTGTGTTGCAATCGAAACGTCGTATTCTATTATTTAATTTATTTTCTTTCTACGTGACTTTACCAAAAGAACCAACGAGTATTTCCTGCAATCACGAAAGCTTCAAATCAAGCATGATAATGATGATTACATAAAATAGCTTGTAATTATCAATCAAAATGTGTATTTTAATTCCTTCCCGTTGGCTACTTGGGATCAATCTACCCTCAATAATACAATATTTCAAAGTCTATAGGTACATTATGATGCTGCCCTGGTGGAACACTGGCACACTGGACTTACAATCCAGCGGTCACTGGTTTGATTAGATCTCCTCGCATGGCAGTTGACACAATGGGGAAAGTTTATTAAATAACCCTGCCTCTGTCCACCCAGCACTATATGTGGGTACACCAAATTAAAAATCCTTGCAGTCACGAAAGCTTCAAATCTAGAATTTACACCAAATTTAGTAAATTCGCTTGTCGTAGGGTAAAGTGTGAGGATTCCCACCACTTTCACAACATCTGGCCCGTGTGGAAGGGGTGCCACAGTGGCGAGATGTTACTAATCTCGCCTGGTATACAGGAGGTCGCAGGTTTGATCCCGACCTCGAGGCCTGCTGTATATGTATATAGTTTCTTGTTCATGTTTTTGTTTGTTGCGGTTGCACCCGATTCAAGAGCTGAATGGCTCACAGGGCTATACCTAATAAATGAAACTGAAAAAACTTAAACTTAATATTTGGAGTTTGGCATGTTCTCCCCTTGATTGCGTGAAATTTTCTCCGGGTCCTCTGGTATTTCCCTCCACATTTTAAGACCTTGGTATGCAACGGGTCTGTTTTCATTCGCTTTGTTTGTTTTACATGCACAGATGGGTTGCCTTGACCTCTTGACTTAATTTACTGTGCTTTAAGGTAGAAGTTCACATTGTCAAATAGATTCGTAAAAATATAAATGTTGAAAAAAATGTGTTTTCATTTATCACTGCACAAAATGGTATTGATTCCACTCCAGTAAACGTTGAAATCCCTTTGCACAGGTATCTATTTCAAGGGCCATTCCAATCCCAGTGACGAGCATTGCCTACGCCCGCACTTCTCTGCCACGGATGAAGAACAGTGTAGAAGGAGTCAACCAGGAGATTGAGCGCATGTTCATCAGTGAAGACAGAGATAAAGACGGCGTTCTCAGGGTAAAATTGCACGTGCATTCTTTATGGTTTATTCCTCTGCCAAAGTTTCCCTCTAATGTGTTGGGGTTGGGGCCGCACGTTGTGCAGCATGATATCCGACATTTCTCTCACTTCTTGAAGTAGCTCCCAGCATATGGCGCGAAATGTCAGGCATCATGCCGAATAACGCGGTACAACCTGACAATACATCGGAAAGCCCATGAAGCACAACCGCAAAAAGCTTCGCAGTAGCATTATTCTTGCCTAAATGTTTGCGTAAATTGAAAGACTCGTGATCTTGACAGATTTGAACAGAATGCAAATTCAAGCTTTTAATTTCCAACCATTTGTTCATACCATCGTGACAAAGATTGTGAAGGTAACTTTTGAAAAGCTAATTACATGATGGCACATATACCACAAGCCTTGGGAAACGTAATGGAGCCATCGGTTATAAATGTAAAATCATACAAGGAAAAGTATATCTGCACAAAAAACACCGGTCTGATCTAGTTACTCAAATAAGGTCAAGGTAAAATGGCAGGTTCTGTCATTACCATGTCGTGTTACAGCTGCCTTTATTATCTTGCTGTTTGTGGTTTTGAACATCTGCCATTTCAGTGGCGAGATGTTAACTACCTCGCCTGGTATACAGGAGGTCGTGGGTTCGATCCCGACCCTGACGCCTTTATATTTGGAGTTTGCATATTCTCCACGTGGTCGTGTGGATGTTTTCTCCAGGTCCTCTGGTTTTTCCCTCCACATGTGGAAACATGCTTTTATAAGTATTTGGCTGCTATAATTTTCCGTGTGATAAGCCACTTCGTTGAGCTATCATTTATGGCCGGATTGCTTCTGAAAGAGAGCTATATAGCTTAGTGGGCCTTACCTGGTAAAATAAAAAGTTTAGTTTAAGTTTAAACCTATTGGCTGCCAAGAAAGTTCTGCCCATTACGCACCCATATCATGCATCAACAAAACCAACCAAACTAAATTTGCCGTAGCTTTACTTTACTTTACTTTGGAGTCTGCGGTATTCTCAAAACCCTAAGAAAAATTTCGTTGTTCTCCTGCAGCCGTGCGAAAGCGAAGATGGGCGTCGCGCCCCCGTGCCGAGCCAGCAGCGCAGCGTGGACACGCAGACGCCCTCAGGGCCGCAGTGCAGCCGCGAGAGCAGCAGCAGCAGCGGCACGAGCAGCACGAGTAGTAGCAGCAGCGAGAGCCGCTCACACTCCGTGTCTCCAAATGTTTCCGTGGCCGCCGCCGCTGCCGCCGATAACAATAACTACAGCCCCTGCTGCACCGACGAGCTGCTGGCGCAGTGCAAAGAAAAAGGTAAGTGTTGGGAGGAATCACCTTGTCACCTTGTGCCGTCAAGTCGAGTACGACCTCTGGTAACATCCACGACCAGACTTCACAATCCACACCTGTCTCTCGCTGCCTCTCGTAGCTGGGTTAGTGCAAGGCGAGTTAGTGGTGTTCTTGATGTCGTCCATCTACCTCTTCCGAGGTCAGCCTCTGCCCCTGCTACCTTCTCCATTCCCAAGCAAGACCGATTCCTCGAGCCCAGAGGTCCTCATAACGTGTCCAAAGTATGTAGATTTCTGCTTCACGAGTAAGGCCTCGAGTGGAAGAGTGGGAGCGATCTCTCAGGACCAACATGTTTGATGTTTGATATTTTGGCTGTCCATGGTATACGTATTATTCTTCTAGAGCATCACATCTCAAATGCGCTGATCCTCGACTGGTTCATTTTCCAAACTAAATTAATTTCGTTGTTCTGTCGCCATCATATTTTGGAGATTGTTGCAGAGTCCAGGCTTCTCACCAGCTTTAACGTTTACCAACAGAGGGTCGTCATTTCAGCTTTGCTATTTGCTAGTTGGGTGGTATCAGCATATCTTAAGTTGTTTATTCTTCTGCCTCCAATATTCATGCTTTCTTTGATGGAATGTAGGCTTGCCTCTCGCAAAATTTTCTCAGATGGGATGAATACAAGGGGGGGAAATATTGGGAAAATTTTGGAGCCCCCAGATGCTTGTACACCGAACTGCCTGTTTAAGTAACTAATAATTGCTCTATTCTAAGCTGAAATCCATTCTGTTCTTACATGTACTCAGAAGAATAGTTCATCTCAGCTTATTGGCTTTCCAGACCCAATGTTATCCAGTAGCTTTTGTTTAAGCAAGCACCTCTGATTAGACATGTTAGCTACGTACGGTGCGAACGAAGTTCAACATGTATACATACAAGCAAACTTATAGGTCTGATTAGCACATTCAAAAGTTATTGACAAGAAGACTGCATTACACAATTGGGCCCTGTTTAATACAAAAAACAATGTATACAAATGGTTCGCTTTGTTGTGGAGCACTATGGGCAAAAGCACATGCGCGCACTGTATATGTATATTGAGTTGACATTTTAGTCCAGGTTGTTTGGAAATGAAAAATATTTGTTTCATATAATTGAATTGTAGTGCTTTAATTGGGTACCACATTGTGTGCCTTGGTGAAGAAACTTGGTGGGTTTTTATTTATTAAAAAAAATTGGTATTTTGTTATTCAATGAGCAAGCTATAGGCAAATGAGCCATTGGGTAAACTAGCTCCCCCTGTGTCTGATGGTAATCACTCGACCCATCAGGTGCAGATGGAATTGGGACAAATCCTGTAAGATCTTTAAATTCTATAAAATATTTGCAATTAAAATAATTTATCTGCCATGTATTATTGCTTTGTTCCATTCATACTCTTTGGTTCTTTCGGTGAAGTCACGTAGGTAGAAAAATAATAGATCACGACGTTTCGATCGCAACACAAGCAATCGTCATCAGGTGGGACAACTACAGCGAGAAAAAAAATAATTATATGAAGAAGCTGACTTTAATTTCCAAAGTTGTGTGAAATCACATGATCCGAAGTCTGTCCGCATTGTGTGTCTATGTTATTTGCAATTAGCAGCCTGCATTCTTTTCACGTTTACCAGCGGGTCCATGAAGTATATCACCAACATAAGTAGAAGTATGAAGTAAATAATAAAACAGAATCGCCATCGGTACTGTTATGTCGGCATTGGCCAATTTATATTAGTGTTTGTTCCATGATAACAACCAGGCCTCCTCCCCCCTACAAGCCGGAACGCCAAGCTGGGCTGTACAATACAGCCACCTAACCCCCTGGAAATTCCATTTAATTTCACGAGTTGAATTGCGAATCCGTGTTCAGAATCTTGACAGTCGTCCAGCTCTTAATGGACACAAGTATGCAAATGGCGAGTACTAGCCTCACGACATGTGAAACTAATCAGAGGGACAGCCAGACCAAATGGTTTCCAGCCATAATCTTCACCCTTACTGCTGAGGCTTTCCCTTGGACCACTGAGATGGCAACGTCGGCAATTGTTAAACAGGACCCCCCAACAAAACTGTCCTTGTATTTATGTATGTTGCACTTCGTTTGCACCGTACGCAGCCAACGGTGAAACCAATCATTTCTGTTGTGTCCTAGCATAGATTGTAGTTCTTAACAGCACATGTAGCCTCATATATTTATATTTTATGTGTGTGTGCTTATTTGCTGGTCTCGCTCGCAACTGCCATTCTACAATTTAACTCACGGGGTATACAGTCTGTTCCTCCCTGTGTTCTGAAAAGCTTTGGTGGGGTAGTAAAGAGATGGGACAATTTGGTAAGTGCAGTAGTGTTAGAGGGGGGTGGAGGAAAAGTAGGTTAAGGAGTGAGAGCAAAGCCTATTTATGACGAGTTGGGCGAATGAGTCATCCTAGTGAAAACTAAAAGTTGTAGCACAATATAAACTAATACGTTCTGTACTTCCCTTCTAATAGAACATAGTACTATGATGTATTTGTCTGTCTGGCCATTTCAACATTGCAGTATTGTAATTCTACTCTAAAATACTCATTCTTTTTGGTATAAAATTTGCCTATATTTCTAAGATTTATGGATTTAGTAAAAAAATAAACACTTTGGTATGAGCAGGGGTTATTGAGAGGGTGTGTCAGGAAGAGCTTAGTAAGAGAGTGAGAGTAAAACTACTTTTAGTGGAATGTGGATTGTGAGAAGCCCAATTGAAGAGAGAAAAAAAAGCATGATTTTTTTGCGCGTGCTAAATTAATCAAGCTCGTGTTAACGTATGTATTTTTCCCTCTTTGCAGAAAATGGTGACAGCTCTCCACTCCCTAAATACGCCACATCGCCCAAACCCAACAACAGCTACATGTTTAAACGGGAGCCACCCGAGGGCTGCGAGAAAGTCAAAGTCTTTGAAGAAATTTTGTGAGTACCGACACCTGATGCCTTGTCCTTTTTTCTGTGTGTGCGATTTGAAAATGTTATTTCCTGAATGCCGATAGATATTTTCCTTCTGATGCGTTAAATATTGATCTGATTATGGGACCTTTTTTGCCAGTATCAATGATTAAATAAAAATAACGTAGTTTACCCCGATTCTTTGAAACTTTAGCGTGTTTGGAGAGGGAAAATTCTATTATTTTTTAATCATTGATCTGCTTTTCTTGAAAACCAGTAATTACTGCTTCTTGAGTTTTCCAATTGTAGATTGAGTATCACCCTAAAGGGATGTGGTCACAAAGAAATCTCTGTTTTCGTCAGATATAAAAGCACATTTTCAAGTGTGGTATTGTATCTAAGAAAAAATGCTTCCAGCCTTCCTACATCCACAAGAAGCCCAGTGGGAAATCTAAAAAGGCCATCGTGCAATTTAACACATAAGCAGCTTTTTGCAAATTGATTTGCACAGGATTTAATTTAGCTTTTGCAATTGTGCAAAAACTGTAAATTCCCCAATTAAGTAGTGATCTTGCTGGTCGTGGTATTTTCTCTGCACTCCGAAACAATTATGCACGTTTTGCAAAACTGGATAAGCAAAGAAATCAAATTGTGTTTTATAAAAAAAGTAATGAAAAGGAGTGTATTCTTTTTCTCCATTCAGCTAAATGTAACTGAATATACCTTCACAAAGCAATATGTTGTTTGGTGAAATATAAGACGATGTAAAATGTAAATCTATATAGGTACAAATGCCCTACGTGTATGTGTAAATCTCTTTCCACGTATTGTATTCCACACACACACTTGACGTTGACATGCACGTGTGTGGGGTTTCCCTGCAGACCCAAACAACTTGGTGAGATTCCAACGTTTTACGGCCCAGACAAAAACAAGGTGAACTTCATACCGAAGAGGAGCTCTGCATTTTGCCCCGTCAGCATTATGAAACCACTGCTCTTCACCCCAGAACTGGCCATAAAAGGTTTCCCTGGTTTGGGACCCATGCCTATCACGGGGGGCTCAGCCACAATGGTGGTGGTGGCCCATGCCGCGTCCCAGGCCATGCTGACGACGGCACAGCTTCTGGAGGAGGGCGGCTTCAGCAGCATCAACAGCAACCTCAATGCAAATGGGCTAAACAGCAGGGTGGTAAGCCCTGCCAGCCAAACGACGACGATGCCACAGCAGCAGCAACAGCAGTGTGGCTCCTCACTCGCCGTCCCAGGAACCACGCTTGTCTGACCGCGGAGCTGGCCTCCGCACACGCACCTTAGCAGCCGTGTTGGCGCACACACACACACACCCACACACACACACACTCCCCTTATAGGCATTACTTGTAACTTGTCTCAGAGCTCTCGGCCACTGCAAACATGCACAAAATAATAAACTTTCTTAACTGGAAAATGTATAACATAGGCTGCCGCGCAGTATGGTAAATGCCGTGTAATTTTTTTTTTTGCTAAGCAATTGCACAAAATGTGTCCTTTCAGTTCCATTGTAAACCAATATACTGGTTTTTCTTTGTGTCTCATTGCGTTTTGGGTTAAAAGGTTGAGATTAACTTTTCACAGTTGGTATGGTTTTCCAAGAAAGAACTACCCAAAGTTGCATGTGAATAGGTCAAACAATGTAATGTTGTGAAAGTATGTGTTTTACCTAACGTAATGCAGTCTCAGTAATTTCTTCAGACCCTTGGCTGAGCCCAACTGGCGATATACTAATTGTTGTAACTCAGGTAACTTTCACTGAAAGCGTGTTTGCAGTGGGTATTAAGGACAGAGCAATAAAGCAAGCTAAAAAAATGTTAAGAAAAGAGTAGTTGAAGTTGAATTAGTAACTGGTGATGAGGAAATGCTGCAGGATGAACAGTCAGGTGTTCCCACGTTGCCTTTCATTAATACATTTGTTTTATAAGATTCTCCCAGTGAGGACTCCAATGGAATTGATCTACAGTGGCTAAAAAGACTTGGAGGAAGAGAAATCTACTGTGTGATGTATAACATCAGTCTAGTGATTCATGCTTAGACACTGGTATTATAATGCTATTTCCTGCCATTGTGTTATTGCGTGTTAAAAAAAAATGTGTGTTTTAGTATTAAACTGTTTAGTGGTTTCCAAATGTACAACATTCCATGTTAAAGGATAAAAAACATTCCTTGTTGGTTGTTTGCAAAAAAAGAAAGAAAAATACAAAAAAAATTCACAAAACCCCAGTTTTTAAAGACCTTTACTCTACAAAACGTTCCTTGTATAATCATCCAGATCTTTACAAAATGCTCTTTCTATATGCGTTTGAATGCTGTTTGTTGTATTTTTCTGAAATGAAATATCTATTTTATAACGTTATGAAATCATTCCTTGCTTCATACACACGTATTGCAGGCCACAGCTTTAGTATTTGTTCTGTTTCCGTCATGGTTCTGTGCCTGTTAAATGTGTTAGGTTTTGTTCCTCTTCCCCTGTTCCATTTTTTTTCATTTATCAGTTTACTTTATCAGAGCATGCTCTTTCCGATTGCTTAGGGCTGTATTTATGGATTTTATTTATGGCAGGTAGTTCAAGTAAAACCAACTTGATGTATCCTGAAAAGGCATTTCATGACATGTGGGTGATGATTATATGGAACCCTTTGAACGTTGCAAACTGGTTATGGATTTGAAAGTAAACAATAAAAGTGTTATGAAATGTTTTGACAAAGTTTGTTCATTTTGAAGAGTTATGTTTTCAATAAAACAAATCAGTATTTTAGATTGTTAAGATTTGAGAGACGTACACATGACCTTAGCTTTTTTTTTATCTGCAGAAAGATGTATGTAAATACAATTGTTTATTTAGTACTGGTAAGTGTAGGTTCAGAATTTAATGCATTTCAAATGAACTAAAATGCATTAATGAATTCCCCCCCCCCCCCCCAATTCGCACAAGGGCTCACGTGACATCACATATCCCTCTAAGGAACTAGACAGGAGGATTTCTCCACATCTGGCTTCTGCCTGATGATGCCGGTTGTAATTACTGGTGAAACGTCGTACTCCGATAGTAATGATTGTGGATTTGCTCTCCAACATCCCGGTGTGCTCTACTCGTAACTAATTTGCACGTTCTGTTTACGTGACAAACCTTACTCATTGGCCGTGGCAGGTCTAACGACACTTACATTTGTGGTCTGTATTATGGATAACATGTTACTGCCTCCATTGACCACTGCCCTTACCATCACAAGGTTATAAGTGCAAATATAAGTGAAGGCCAACTCCAATGCTGCTGGCTCTGTTACTGCCCATTGCCCATTAAAATGTTGGGACCTCCGTGACTTATTTTTAGCTAGAGTAGTGGCTTTTAATATATCCAAATAAAAATGACTAATAGCATGTACCAGCATTGTACTAACATCAGTAATGATCAATCCACTGCTGGATGAAGACCCTCTCTAAGCCACCACCACCACTTTGCACAATACTGCAATGAACACAACCATAACAAACTAAATATGGAAAGTACATGTATGGCTTCATAAAAATGTCGATCTGATTGTGATATGTCATCTCTTAAATATCTATTTTGAGAAGTTTACATCGGTAAGTCATGCTACAACTTGTGCAACTTAATTTTTATCTTTTCGTTTTACTCCGTAGACTGCATTTTCTGAATTATTTTGGAGGGTGGCAAGCTTACATTTTCATGTAGCAGTGGTGAACTTTAAATAAATATTTAGGAGTCTAGTATTTGTAACGCTGGCAGACATTTTATCTTTTGTAACGCTGGAAACATCTATTTAACCGTTATTATTAAGGAAAGCATGGTCAACCCTTTCCATAATCCTAATCTGTTGCTATATGTACTCTAGATAAGGGCAACTAACACGTAACACTCGTAAAGTACACAAAACCACAGGAAATCAACGCAACTATCTGGAAGTCATGCATTTCCACCATATCCACATTGTTGCTGCGAATGTGCTCATTCCTTCAATGCATGCCATTCTCTATTCGCACAAAGTTTGCTATTGCAGTCTTCAAAATGCAACCTTAAACGTTTGAAAAACGTGGGTTAAAGTGACTGCGGAATTATAGAATACCGTACGTAGTTCACGTTTTTGAGGTAGACTGGCATTCCAAGTAAGATCGGTGAAATGCTTGTGTAAAAAAATGCATTTCTGTATTGACATGGTGCCATATATAAATAACGAATTGACCCTAGTGGCTTAACATTTACGAAATGCCAATTGTTTCGTGTAATTTTAACATGTTCCTTCGAAGTGGGCAGGTAGGAACTTGGTTGGACAGCGCATTCGTGCACGACAGACAAATATGCACGACAGACAGACAAATAATCCCTGGTGGATAGTGTGGAACCTGTTGTTCCTACCTGTAGTAACTGCATACTTTAATACAGGTTTTGTTTAGATCGCGTAAATATATAAATGTGTTGTTGAACTTGTCACCACCCGACAAAGCCAATGAGTAAGGGTTGTCACGTAAACAGAACATGCCAATTTGTCACGAGTACAGCACAACCGGTGTGTTGGAGAGCAAAACCACAACATTTACAATCTTGAGTACGACGTTTCGCCAGTAATTACAACTAGCTTCATCAGGCATGCTTTAATGACATGCTAGTAAATTGTAGCTTTAATATGCTGCAATATGTGACAATGTATCATGAACAATGAGCCTCCCATATTATTTCATTTTGTCTTGAGTAATACACAAGGTGGCATAAAAACGTGAGTTGGGCTCCGATCCACCATCCAGAAGTGAACGCAATTCTCTTGGCGAGATCTGTTGGAAGAGGCTGATGGAACATTTTTGTGCTCTGCCAAGCTGAGTAAGGGTGCGGCAAATAGCATGTCCTTGCTAAATGCAATTCATATCTGTGCTAACGCTGGCAGATGTCACTTTTTTTATAAGTAATTAAACCAAAAAAGGTCTTCCCTGGGCGGAGTGATGCCATGTTAATTGCATTTCATCTCCTGGAAATTCACGAGCAAGTAGCTGGAAGCCTCAATCTTGGCGTAAACTGGTTTGAATACGTTATTGGAAATTCAGAATCAAGAGTGGTTGGGTTCGAGTTATGTAAGAAGAGAGCAATAAAGAGAACATAGAGATCGCATACAGGCATGGAGCTACCACAACCAACAAAAATGTGCAGTCTTCCAATAGTAATTGTATATATGCCTTTCTTGCAATTATACAAAACAGTACCGTAATAAAATGTATGCTATGGCACTGGATTGCAAGGCTTTTAAATACCTTTTGAGGCTGATGCCCCTTCCCCACTTGGCTTTCCATGCCCCCACCTTAATCTGCGTATGGTGCCAGGCCATGCTGGCATAACAATGTGTCCAACAGATGGCTCATGGTTGGATGGAACCATTGAAGTGGGTTTCTGCCGAAATTGCCAAATCTATTAGAAATTACAGATGTGAAAAAGATGGAGCAACCTTTGCACAAATCCATGTATGTGTTTCACTATTTTTTCGATAAAAGCAAACAATGATGTTAATTGTGGGGCTCTACATCTCGGGCATAATATTTATGCCGGAGGAATCCAATGAGCTATAAAGCTCTTTGTCACATGTCCAGTAGGGACGGGTAAGAGCGTTACAACAACAGTATAAAAAACATGATAATGCAAAGGACAAGAAAGGTAAACAGATCACCCAAACACACAAATAAAACTGAACCATCCTTCCCGGAAAAACCCACTGAGGTATTAAAACAATTTTCAGAAGCGACCTGGCCACAAATGATAGCTTAACAAAGTCGCCCATCATTTGGACATTTATAACACCAGAATCTAATTAATAACAATTCATGTTTCTACCGGAGACAACATCCACACGACCACGGGGAGAGAGAAATGCAAACTCCAAATATACCGCAGGCATCAGGGTCGGGATCGATACCCCGACCTCCTGAATATCAGGCGAGAAGGATAACATCTCGCTGCCGTGGCGCCCCTTTACAGAAACAAAGTTTACATGAAGTGGAACTCTTCCATGTGAAGGGTGGACGAGAATGGGCAAAGTCTCGCAACACCTTCTCGGAGGCGGTGCAGAGGATTATCTGAACTCTCCAGGTGTCATGGGTTAGTGCGTGAATCTATCCATCTGAACAGGCTGGATGTGGCGGTCGGGGGGGGGGGGCAGAATTGTTCTATGTCAAGATGATGCAGATTTGGAGGAGGTCTGAGTCACTTGGTGTTCTGTTTGGAAGCCCGATTATGGACAAAGCAGAGGCTGGTGACTCAGATGAGAGATTGTATTTCAGAGGATTACCTGCCTTGGGGTCATTCGCAGGTCATTCGACCAGCGAGAGAATTGAAAAGCAATGGCATTACCACCACCGATACGTGGGGGCCCTCACGGGAGATGAGGTGGTAGGGTAGAATCATCCAGTCGGAAAGACGAATGTGAGGCGGTCTTTTTTTTGTTGTGATTGTTTTGTGTTGTTGCTGTCACTGTTCGTTATCGCCACGCTGTTCTTGGCTCTTGAACATTGTTTCTGAATCATAAAAGCGGGAGAGTTGTTGGCACCTGCCTGCCAGGGAGACGAGGTGTGAGAACTTCCGTGACATCTGCAGTCTGTCGCTTCCCCTCTTTGGATCGTCCTGTCGTTCACTCGTTGTGAATGGGGGGTGCTTCTGTCCGGTAGATTGGATTTGGCATGGTCCATTGAGATCACCACGATCGAGCAGGAGTCTTGTACTGGTGGTAGGCTTTGTGGCTAAAATGCAAAGGCGGAGTTTGACTTCTATATTTGGGGTGTGGCAGGGGTTCGCTTTGTCCCTCACATTAGGAAACGCAGGTGCTTGTAATTAATTTAAATGTTTTATCTTAATTGTAACCTACTGAAAATACATTAATAAAGGTGACCAGTTAGGGAGGCACGGGGGGGGGGGGGGCACCTGGGGGGGGCATGGGGGGGGGGCACAAACTCTGCCCATGCTAAAATGTGTGTTAATATGTTGAACTTTTTTCGCACTGATCGGAGGTACGGGATTTATGACAGGTGCTGGGACACGGACCGGGATTCATGAGCCAGGGGATGGAGATTTTCAACGGCTGCGTGCAAACCGCTGAAGCCAAGTTCAAGTGAAGTGTGGTGCAGTGGTGGCACAGTGGTTCGCGATTGACCTGAAGCTATGAACGCGACCGCCTGTGTTCAATCCCGGGCCATGTCTAACATCGGTAGTTGGTGAATCTCGAACTGGGCCTGCCCCCCCCCCCACACTTCCCACCATTTCACCAACTAGCTCTGATCATCAATGTGCAGTATATGGATCAAAGAACATGGCGCGAGCAGGCTTTCATTTAGCAGTGGATTTACAAAGGACAGTCAATAATTATCGTTGGTCAAGTGAACAAGTCGGTGAAATACCGAAGCTATGGAGCATCTTGCCTCTCAAGTCCCGCACTGACTGTTAATAAGTGGGCACATGCTCCTGTGCCAGTGGTCATATTGCACGTATGCATGTATGTAGGTTGAACTTCTTTCGCGCCGTACGCAGCAAGCCGTGCTAATCGGAGGTGCGGGGGAAGGACAACAAACTAAACACACAACTGTCGGGTCACATATTCACACGGTATGTACCGTGACATTATACCTGTGCCATGCACTGAAATTTAAATAAAGCATTCTGTCCGGAATGTTAACGTTTTCAAGATAATAATATGAGTTGACATTT